CCGTGCTCCTTAGCTCTGGGGTCTATTCTGCCGTGGTCCTGGTCTTCTTCTGCCGTGCCCCTGAGCTCTGGGGGTCTATTCTGCCGTGCTCCTGGTCATTTTCTGCCGTGCTTCTTCGCACTTTGGGCATCTTCTGCCGTGTTCCTTGTCTCTTCGGGCCTATTCAGCCGTGCTCCTCGTCTTTTTCTGGTTTGCCCCTTCGCTCTTCGGGCCTATTCTGCCGTGCTCCTGGTCTTTTCTGTCGTACTCCTTGGCTCCTCGGGCCCCTTCTGCTGTGTTTCGGTCTTTTCTGCCGTCGTCCTTAGCTCTTGGGGCATCTTCTGCCGTCCTCCTGGTCTTTTTCTGGCGTCTTTTTCGCTCTTGGGGCCTATTATGCCGTGCTCCTTAGCTCTTGGGGTCTATTCTGCCGTGCTCCTGGTCTTTTTCTGTCGTGCTCGGCAGCACTTGGAGTCTATTCTGCCATGCTTCTGGTTGGTTTACGACGTGCGCCTTCGCTCATGGGGCCTATTCTGCTGTGCTCCTGGTCGTTGTCTGCCGTGCTCCTGCTTTTTTTTCTGCCGTGCTCCTTCGCTCTTGGGGCATATTCTGCCGTGTTCCTTGTCTCTTGGGTTCTATTCTGCTGTGCTCCTCGTCTTTTTCTGGTTTGCTCCTTCGCTCTTGGGGTCTATTTTCCCGCACTCCTTCAGCTCTCGGGGTCTACTCTGGCGTGCTTCTGTTCTGTCGTGCTCCTTCGCTCTTGCGGCCTATTCTGCCGTGCTCCTGGTCATTCTCTGCCGTGCTCCTTAGCTTTTGGGGTTTATCCTGCTGTGCTCCTGGTCTTTCTCTGCCGTACTCCTTCGCACTTGAGGCATATCCTGCCCTGCTCCTTAGCTCCTGGGGTCTATTCTGCCGTGCTCCTGGTCTTTTTCTGCCGTGCTCCTTCGCTCTTGGGGCCTAATCTGCCGTGTTCCTGGTCTTTTGCTGCCTGCCCTTTAGCTCTTGAGGTCTATTCGGCCTTGCTCCTGGTCATTTTCTGCCGTGCTTCTTAGCTTTTTGGGTGTGTTCTGCCGTACTCATTTGCTCTTGGGGTCTATTCTGCCGTGTTCCTTGTTTCTCTCTGCCGTGCTCCTTCGCTCTTGGGGCCTATTCTGCCGTGCTCGTCATTGCTTTCTGCCGTGTGCGCCCAGAAGCTCCGCCAAAACGACCACCGCGACGATCCGCACGGCAGATACAGGAACACGGCAGAACACACAGAGCACACAGAGGCACGGCAGAACATAGAAGCACGGCAGAACAGGAGCACGGCAGAACATACAGGAACACATTTAAACACACCCCGCACGCACGCCGACACGCGCGCCACGGCATACTTGCGCGACATAACAACAACAGAGCATGTTCGCGCTGCACCGAATTTTTCGATGGCGGGTTCCCACAAGCAGCGATATCGCTCGAGATATCATCCGAATATGGAGGTGTTGGAGGCTATCGTTTAAGACGTTTTCTGTAAACAAGTGACATGTTCGTTCAAGACATCCTCAGAAGATCGGGGTGTCGAAAAATGTCAAGGATTTTGTGGTGCATGAAAATTAGCGTTTCGCCCGAGACATCCTCGAACAAATGATTTGTTAGAAACGCTGCTTTACCACTTCTCATATAAAACATTGCGCTTTCGCTCGGGACATCCTCAGGAAATCGGGAAGGGCGCGGCAGACCGAAAAAAGGAGCACAGCAGAAATTGATCATTTCGCTGGGGACATCCTCAACAAATGAGATGTTCGCAACATCGCCTCCACATCGTTTTCGAAGTGCTTCAAGACGAAGAGATGAGAGCCCGCAAAGGAGCCCAAGATGGCTCCAACAGCGCCCTGGAGTCTGCCGAAAATGACGAGTTATCTATAGTCTTTCTGCCATGTTCCTGGTCTTCTTCTGGTTTGCTCCTTCGCTCTTGGGGCCTATTCTGCCGTGCTTCTTAGCTCTTGGGGTCTATTCTACCATGCTCCTGGTATTTTTCTGCCGTGCTCCTTCGCTCTTGGGGCTTATTCTGGTAATTTTCTGCCGTGCTGTGCTGTGCTGTGCTCCTGGCCTTTCTCTGCCGTGCTCCTTCGCACTTGGGGCATATTCATCCCTGCTCTTTAGCTCCTGGGGTCTATTCTGCCGTGCTCCTGGTCTTTTTCTTCCGTGCTCCTTAACTCTTGGGGCCTATTCTGCCGTGATCCTGGTCTTCTTCTGCCTGCTCCTTTGCTTTTGGGGTCTATTCTGCCGTACTCTTTTGCTCTTGGGGTCTATTCTACCGTGTTCCTGGTCTTTTTCTGCCGTGCTCCTTCGCTTTTGAGGTTTATTCTGCCATACTCCTTTGCTCTTGGGGTCTATTCTGCTGTGATCCTGGTCTTTTTCTGCCGTGCTCCTTCGCTCTTCGGGCCTATTCTGCCGTGCTTCTGGTTTTTTTCTGCCGTGCGCGCCCAGAAGCTCCGCCAAAACGACCGCCGCGACGATCCGCGCGGCAGCATACAGAAGCACGGCAGAACACACAGAGCACACAGAGGCACGGCAGAACACAAGCACGGCAGAACAGGAGCACGGCAGAACACACAGGAACACAGCAAAACACACCCCGCACGCACGCCGACACGCGCGCCACGGCATACCTTCGCGGCGTAACAACAACAAAGCATATTCCACATGCTTGGTGGACTAAAGCGACGCTTCCCGTTCTTGTCCGGTCAGGTTCTCTGTCGGCGCCGCAGTTGGCACAGCGGTCGACGCCGCAATCGGCGCACGGGCAAGCGCCGAAGCCGGCGCCGCGGTCGGCGCGGCGGCTGGAGCCGCTGTCGGCGCCGTTGTCGGCGGCCGCCGACGCAGCCGTCGGCGCCGTAGTCAACGCAGCTGTCGGCGAAGCGGTCGGTGCATCGGACCGTGCATCAGTTGGGCCCAGCTGTCGGGGCAGCGGTCGGCGCGGCGTCCGTCATCGCCGCCGGCGACGCCGCCAGCGCGGCCGTCGCTGCCGCGAGCAGCGCAGCTGTCGACGTGTAGCCGTCGGCGCCGCGCCACGGTCAGCCCAGCTGTCGGCGCCGCTGTCGTCGAAGCTGTCGACGGGGCGGTCTGCGCCGCCGTGAGCGCAGCAGTCGGAGCCGCATGCGATGAAGATGTCGGCGCCGCGGTCGGTGCAGCCGTCGGCGCTGCTGTCGGCGACGCTGTCGGCGCCGCAGTCAACCCGCCTATCGGCGCCGCTGTCGTCGCCGCTGTCGTCGCCGCTGTCGTCAAGTCGGTCGGTATCGCCCTCGGCGCAGCTGCCTGTTACGCAGTCGATGCAGCTGTCGGCGCCGCACTCGGCGCGGCTGTCGAAACCGCAGTCGGCGCGGCCGTCGGTGTCGCCGTCAGCGTGGCGGTCGGCGCAGCTGCCGGCGTCGCTGTCGGTGCTGCAGTAGGCGAACCTGTCGGGCAGCCGGTCCGCGCCCTCGTCGGCGCCGCAGTCAGAGTGGCTATCGGGGCCGCCCTCGGCGCGGCTGCCGGCACCGCAGTCGGCGCGGCAGTCGATGTCGCAACTGGCGCCGCCATTCGGGAACCGATCGGCGTCAGCGTTGGTGCCCCTGTCGGCGCCGCTGTCGGCACCGCTGTCGGCGGACTGGTTGGTGCCACCGAAGGTGCCGCCATCGGGGCCGCCTTCGGCGTCACTGCCAGCAAAGCGGCCGGCGAGGCGATCGGCATCCCAGTCGGCGCTGCTGTCAGCGCGGCAATCGGCGCGGCCAGCAGCGCCGCTGTCGGCGTGCTGGTCGGCGCAGCCGTCGGCGCTGCGGTCGGTGCTGCAGTCGGCGCCGCTGTCGGTGCCGCTGTCGATGCCGATGTCGGCGCCGCTGCCGGTGCCACCGCCCGCGCAGGTGTCGGTTCTGCAGCCGCCGCGGTTGCCGGCGCCGCAGCCGGCGCAACTGCCAGCGCGCCAGGTCGACGCCGCCCTGGATGCCGCGGCCGGCGCGGCCGTCGGCGCAGCTGTCGGCCGGGGCTGCCGTCGTTGAGGTTGTCCGTGGCAGTCGGTGCCACCTGCGTGTCTGTCGGGGCCGCAGCTGTCGGAGCGGCAGTCGGCGCCGCCGCCGACGCCGCCGAGGCTATTGGGGCAGCCGTCGGCGAGGCTGTCGGCGCCGCCGTCGGCGCAGCCGTGCGCGTGGCTGTCGGGGCCGCAGCTGTCGGGGCAGCAGCTGTCGGAGCGGCCGTCGGTGCCGCCGTCGACGCCGCCGAGGCTGTTGGGGCAGCTGTCGGCGAGGCTGTCGGTGCCGCAGCTGTCGGAACGGCAGTCGACGCCGCCGTCGGCGCAGCCGTAGGCGTGGCTGTCGGGGGAACAGCAGTCGGCGCCGCCGTCGGCGCAGCTGTGGGCGCGGGTTCGGCGCCGCCCTCGACGCCAGTGGCGGCGCGCCAGCCAGTCGCTCTGGAGATCGCGAGCGCCCGGGGCCGCCTGGGGGCCGCCTGGGGCCGCCGCCGACGCCGCCGACGCCGCAGAAACTGCGCCCCAGCGCGGCCCGGCCGCTGCCGGGGGCGCCAAGGGCCCCCCGGGGGCCGCCAATCGGCCACGATCTCCAACGCCGCACTGGAGAGCGTGAGCGCCCGGGGCCACTGGGGCCACTGCGGCCGCCGCCGACGCCGGCGAAACTGCGCCCCGGCGCGGCTGGGCCGCTGCCGGTGGCGCCACTGTCAAGGACCCCCTGACTCCGGATCCGCCCTACTTTGGGGAAATTCGTAAGTAGGGCTTGGAATTTCCACCTTACTTTTCAAGCCCCGCTGATGCCAATTTCCGCCCTACTTTTCTGTTGCTGTTTCCGCCTTACTCCTGTGGATTTCCGCTCTACTTTATGTTGGGTGCAGAAATTTCCGCCCTACTTTTTTCCGGCTTCTTATGGGTGGATTTCCGGCGCAATTTGAAGTTGGAAAAAAAGCCAAAGTAGGGCGGATCTGGAGTCAGGGCCCCCGGGGGTCGCCAATCGGCCACGATCTCCAACATCGCTCTGAAAATCGTTGGCGCCTGGGGCCGCCTGTTGGCTCCGGCGGCGCCGCTGTCGGTGCCGTCGCCGCTGTCGATGATGTCGTGTGCGCAGCCATCGGTGATGCCGTCGGCGCGGCCGTAGTCGGCGCGGCCGTCGGCGCCGCGGTAGGCGCCGCTGTAGACGCCATTGCAGCCGCCGCCCGCCCGCGGTCGCCTCTCGACGTCGGGTCTCGGTGCGCATCGAGTCGCTTTTGAGCCACCCTCGTTAACGCCTCCTCCTTCGGGCCCGTCGATGGGCCCGACGAGGCGTGTGCCCCTCGGCCGATCCAATCACGACACAGCCCATGGAGCCCGCCGTTGAGCCCGGCCATGCCCTCGAAGTTTGCCGCCTCCACGCGGTCCGAGGGGCCGCCAACCCAGCCGCTGGGGCGTCGCCCCTGACGTCGCGTAGTGCATCTGCGTAGTGTATCTGCGTAGTGTACTTGCGTAGTGCATTTGCGTCGTATATTTGCGTAGTGTATTTGCGTAGTGTATTTACGTCGTGTATTCACTTGCGCACTGCATTTGCGCATTGCATTTGCACAATGTGTTTGCGCACTGTGTTTACGTCGTGCTTTTTGCGCAATGTTTTCGCGTAGTGTTTATCGCGCAGTGTTTCTTGCGTAGTGTTTATTGCGCGATGCTTTCGCGTAACAGTATTGCGTCGTGTTCTTGCGGTGCGCTTTCACGCAACGTGTTTGCGCAATGTTTCTGCGTTGCGTTCCTGCGCAATGTTTCTGCGCAGTGCTTAGGCGTGCCGGTCGGCGTGGCGTTTCGGCGCATTGTTTCGCGACGTGTTTCGGCGTGGACGCCTACGTAGGCGCGTAATGCATTGGCATCGTGTCTGGGTAATGAGCGTGATTTTTGCGTAGTGTATCTGCGTAGTGTATTTGCGTTGTGTATTTGCGTAATGCCTTTGCGTAGTGTATATGCGTAGTGTATTTGCGCAGTGTATTTACTTAGTGTTCGCGTCATGGTTTTACGTCGTGCTGTTGCGCAATGTTTTCTCGTGAGGTGTTTCGCGAAATGTTTCTCGCGTAGTGTTTCCAGCGTAGTGTTTCTTGCGTGATGATGTTGCTGCGTAATGTGTTCGCTTTGTGCTTCTCGCTCAGCTGCGTACAAATTCCTTTTGCCCCCCTCTTCTCCTCGTCCGAGCTCGCCGCGCGCCCGGCGGGGGAGGCCCGCGTCGTTCCTCCCCCCCCCTCCCTCTTCCTTCTTCCCCCTACTCCCCTCCCCCACCCTCCTCCTCCCCATTCCTCCCCTTCCCCCCCTCCCTCCTCATCCCCATTCCTCCCCTCCCCCCCTCCCTCCTCCGTCTTCCTCCATCCTCCATCCTCCCTCCTCCTCCCTACTCCTCCCTCCCCCCCGCCCCCCCTCCTCCTCCTCCTCCATCCCTCTTCCTTCCTCCCCCCTCCCTCCACCCTCCCCCCTTCCGAGGGGCGCGCGGCTTGGCCGTCTGACGCCGAGTCTTCTGCGTTCTCAAGGCTCCGGTCGCGGCTACCCTGGGCCTGCGCCCCGACGACGGCGGCGGCGGCGGAGGAAACGGACAAGGAGGAGAAGGAGGAGGAGCGCAGCAGCGCTGCCGACTCGGATCGCCCCTGAAAGCACTACGCAAAAACACTACGCAAAATGCCCTTCGTCGCCCGCGTCTCGCGCCAATTCCGCTCGAAACCGCGGCTCCTCGCGGCCTCGGGCGAACGTGAGGCGAAACGCGGGCGACGCGGGGTTTGGGCGTCGATATTTGCTGCGTGGTTGCGTGCCGACTCGGGGCGCTCCTGAAAACACTACGTAAAAACATTACGCAGAATGCCCTCGTCGCCCGCGTCTCGCGCCAGTTCCGCCCGAATCCGCGACTGCCCGCGGCCTCGGGCGAAAGTGGCGAGAGACGCGGGCGACGCGGCATGCTGCTGCGTTGTGGTTCGGGCGCGTCTTCCGCGCGGTGGCGCGCCGACTCGGGGCGCCCCTGAAAACGCGACGTAAAAAACTACGCAAAAAAACCCTCGTCGCCCGCGTCTCGCGCCAATTCCGCTCGAAACCGCGGCCCCCCGCGACCTCGGGCGAAAGTGGCGTGAGACGCGGGCGCGGGGTTTGGGCGTAGTTTCTTTCTGCGCGGTTGCGCGCCGACTCGGGGCGCCCCTGAAAACACTACGTAAAAACAATACGCAGAATGCCCTCGTCGCCCGCGTCTCGCGCCAGTTCCGCCCGAATCCGCAACTGCCCGCGGCCTCGGGCGAAAGTGGCGAGAGACGCGGGCGACGCGGCATGCTGCGGCGTTGGGGTTCGGGCGCGTTGTTTTCCGCGCGGTGGCGCGCCGGCTCGGGGCGCCCTTGAAAACGCAACGTAGAAGCACCACGCAGAATACCCTCGTCGCCCTCGTCTCGCGCCAATTCCGCTCGAAACCGCGGCCCCCCGCGACCTCGGGCGAAAGTGGCGTGAGACGCGGGCGCGGGGTTTGGGCGTGGTTTCTTTCTGCGTGGTTGCGCGCCGACTCGGGGCGCTCCTGAAAACACCACGCAAAAACACTACGCATAATGCCCTTCGTCGCCCGCGTCTCGCGCCAGTTCCGCTCGAAACCGCGGCTCCTCGCGGCCTCGGGCAAACGCATCGTGAAACGCGGGCGACGCGGGGTTTGGGCGTCGTTATGTGCTGCGTGGTTGCGTGCCGACTCGGGGCGCTCCTGAAAACACAACGTAAAAAACACTACGCAGAATGCCTTCGTCGCCCGCGTCTCGCGCCAGTTCCGCCCGAATCCGCAACTGCCCGCGGCCTCGGGCGAAAGTGGCGAGAAACGCGGGCGACGCGGCACGCTGCTGCGTAGCGGTTCGGGCGTGTTGTTTTCCGCGTAGCAGCGTTGCCGACTCGTGGCGTTCCTGAAAGCACTACGCAAACACACTACGCACAATGCCCTCGTCGTCCGGACTTCGCAGGGCCGCGCCAGCCGCTGGGGCGCACACTGACGAGACCTCCCTGGTCACGCACGTCGTGTGCGGACGTAACGTACTCACGTATGTAATGCGTCTACGCAATGTATTTGCGTAGTGTTTTTACGTAGTGTTTATATATATATATATATTCCTCGTAGTGTCTATCCCACCTTTAAAATTTCTATTTCACCCTTAAAATTTTCATTCCACCATTTACCACAACCGCCCCTCGGGCCATTTCGGCACACCCATCACGAGGATCGCGCCCCATAGGGAACCCCACCGAAGGCTCCAGCGGCAGGGTTCGCATGGCGGCCTCGGGCCATTTCGGCGCACCCCCCACGAGGATCGTGGCCCCGTAGGGAGCTCCACCGAAGGCGCCAGTGGCAGGGTTCGCATGGCGGCCTCGGGCAGTTTCGGCACACCCCTCACGAGAATCGTGGCCCCGTAGGGAGCTCCAACGAGGATCGTGGCCCCACAGGGAGCTCCACCGAAGGCCCCCGCGGGCAGGGTTCGCATGGCGGCCTCGAATTGTTTCAGCACACCCCTCACGAGGATCGCAGCCCCATAGGGTAGCCCCACCGAAAGCCCCCAGTGGCAGTGTTCGCATGGCGGCCTCGGGCCATTTTGGCACACCCCTCAATTGTGCGGTCCAGATCAGCTTCTGACGGTCCCAGGGTTCAGAACTGGCCTCTGGAGGCCGGCAGAGTAGTGGAGCCTCCTCGAACCTCGAAGTTCGAACGACGAGGTGGAGGAAGAGGAGGAGGAGCGAGCGAGCGAACAGCAGGAAAGCTGCCAAGTACACCAACACAGGCGATGAGAACGAGGCAGAGGATGATGACGGGAAGGACCAGGACGAGGACAGCGCCGGTGATGGTGACAAGGAGGAGGAGCACGCCTCAGGGTGAGAAAGACGCCGATCCCTTGGCCCGGTTCACGTTGATATTCGAACCTCGACTCTCGATCCTCAGTATCCGAGCTTTTTGGATATCGGAATCCCTCCTGGTCGCCACGACCGAGCGCAACCTTGAAAACTGTTGCGTTTCGGTTCCGGGAAGAATGCACGAGCCCATTTCGAAGTCCCTTGCGGAATCATCCCTAGGCCTGAAGGCATCTATTGTTCAAGCTGCTTCCCATTCGCAAAGAAGAAAATCCGACGCAACAGCTGCGGTCTTGGCAATCGTCCGAATGAGCGGCGAGCTCGGGGGAGGGAGGGGGAGGAGGGAGGAAGGTTCGAGTGAGCGGCGAGGCGGGTAGTCTGCCTGGCCTCAACCGCCACACGCATGTCTGCCATTGAAGGGGACACACACGTGCCTCGGAGAATAGAAAGGGGCCGAGTGAGCGGCAAGGCGGGTAGTCTGCCTGGCCAAAACCGCCACACGCATGTCTGCCATTGCTGGGGACACATACGTGCCTCGGAGAATAGAAAAGGGGCCGAGTGAGCGGCAAGGCGGGTAGTCTGCCTGGCCAAAACCGCCACACGCATGTCTGCCATTGCTGGGGACACATACGTGCCTCGGAGGCGGAGGGGGTCGTCCTAGTCGTCGTCGTCGTCGTCGTCGTCGTCGTCGTCGTCGTCGTCGTCGCCCCTCCTCTTCCCGGGGCCTCAGCAGGCCCCGGGCCATCAGACCACGGCTCGAAACTCCAGGGGCCTCTGGGGGCCCCTGGGGAGTGTCTGGGGACACCCGAAGGCCTCCATAGGCCTCCGAAAGCCACATCCTCCTCCTCCTCCTCCTCCTCCTCCTCCTCCTCCTCCTCCTCCTCCTCCTCCATCATCATCATCATCATCATCATCATCATCATCATCATCATCATCATCATCATCATCATCATCATCATCATCATCATCATCATCATCATCATCATCATCATCATCATCATCATCATCATCATCATCATCATCATCATCATCGTCAGCATCAGCATCATCATCATCGTCATCATCACCATCAACATCATCAGCATCATCATCGTCCGCCCCCCGAGGGCCTCCGCAGGCCTCCGAAAGCCTCGGTCGGAAACCTTGAAAAAACACAGAAAAGCTTCAAAGACCTTTGACGCAAATCCATCATCATCATCATCATCATCATCATCATCATCATCATCATCATCATCATCATCATCATCATCATCATCATCATCATCATCATCATCATCATCATCATCATCATCATCATCATCATCATCATCATCATCATCATCATCATCATCATCATCATCATCATCATCATCATCATCATCATCATCATCATCATCATCATCATCATCATCATCATCATCATCATCATCATCATCATCATCATCATCATCATCATCATCACCATCACCATCACCATCACCATCATCATGAATCATCATCATCAGCCTCCAAGGACCCCGGAGGGCCCCTCCAGCTCCTCACTCGTCCTATCCGGGGGCCTCTGGGA